GCGCTGCTTAGCTTACTGGGGTGGATTATTGTGGCACTTGTAGGTGTGTACGTGCATGCACGGGAGTGGTGAAAATGGCATACCCAGCCACCCGGTCTCCAGTATCGGAACTCTATTCTCCTCAACAATTGCGCACCCATCATTTGTTTCCGGCTTCCATCCACTCCCCACTTTTACACTGTGACCAAGCTGTCAGGTTGCCAGGGCACGTCCCTCCTGAGTTTTATCTCAGAGGCAGCTGTGTTTCTCGACCCCTCGCTTCTGAGGGACTGTGGCTTTGACCCGCTCAGATCCTCTGGGGGGGAGGGTCTCACTGAGCAATGGCTGGGTGCTGGCCACACCCACAGAGGACTGTGCTGCTGCCCAAGCTCAGAGACTGTGGCTGGGTGCCAGCCCACCCCCGAGAATGTTCTCGTGATTGTGTAGTAGCAGCATTTCAGGGATTATGGAAAATCACAACATACATCTGGCACCAGGCTTCACCCTTAATGACCTTGTTCCAGCACCAGTGAATGTGGTTTGTTATCTGGTGTCTGCTGGGACTGGGTGGCCACAGAGCCTCTACCAAATGTCCTTCCAGCAGTGGAATCACTTCTCCCTGTGTGGCCCGAGAACCTCCTAGACCCCACTATGCTCCTGGGGATTCACTCTTGCCACCAGAGCACCACCAGGTATCAAGCTGAAGAGTTTCAGACTCTGTGCTCCCCCTGTTTATACAGTCTTAATGGAATTTAAACCCTCTCCTTTTTCCCTTTTTAGTTCAGTCCCTGTGGCTGTTTCCACTTTTCCACTTTCTCTCCAGCTGCTTTTGGGGAGGGTGCTTTTCCCATATTCTCCCCCCATCTCTGTCCTCTCTCTGCAAGCAAAAACAGCTCCCTGCCCTCCGTGGCTTCTCTCACCCCCATTTCACCTCTCTGCTCTGCATACCTGCTGAGTTCTGTAGTTCAGGTTGTGCAGATTGTTGTGTTAATCCTCAAATCAGTTTTCTAGGTGTGCAGGATGGCTTAGTGTTGATCTGGCTGTATTTCATGGATGTGAGATGCAAAAAAAACCTTCTATGCTCTTCTGCTATCTTGGCTCCCTCCATAATATTCTTGTATTAACCTTTTAATGTCTATGGGATCAGTCCCTCTTTCATTTCTGATATTAGTAATTTGTGTCTTTTTTCTTAGTTTTATTGCTAGTGGTTTATAAATTTTATTGACAATAGAATATTATTTAGTATTATAACAAATTGGCTGTTAAGCCATGATAGAATTTATATGCATATTACTAAGTGAAAAAAGCCAACCTTAAAGGCCACATACATACTATATGATTCCAACTAAAAGGTTAAACTATAATGATGGTAAAAAGATGAGTTGTTGCCAGGAGTTAGTGGGGAGAGAAGGATGAATATGAAGAGAGAATATTTAGGGCAGTGAAACTATGTATGATACTGTAATGATGGATATACTTTATTAGACACTTGTTCAAATCCTTAGAATATACAATACCCAGGTAAAACTCTAAGGTAAACTAGGGACTTTGGATGGTAGTGATTTATCAGTGTAGGTTGATCAACTGTAACAAATGGTGGACAATGGAGATAATGGGGAGGCTATATATGTGTGGGGGTCAAGAAGTTTATGGGATATCTCTGTACTTTCAGCTCAGTATTGCTGTGAACCTTCTCTAAAAATTCAAAACAAAAATAAAAATAAAACAAAAACATAGTAGCTACTCTTCTAATATCCCAGCGAGCTTTCCTTGAACCTTTGGCTATTGGAATTATTGTTGAGAGTAGACTACCCAACTTTAGACTTTCCTAGTTTGGGCTTGCTACCATGAGCTAGGTTTGTAGCTTGTAACTTTTATGTATCTCACCTACCAGATCCACATTCTGCTTACCTTACCCTGTAATGGACACCATTGGTGACCTGTGGCTCTTGTTTTCTCACTATCACATCCATCTTTATTATTTGCCCGACCTGTCTGTTTCTTGTAGTGTCCTCAAGGAATCCCACCAGTGCTCACTGTCTTATGAAAGATAAACTTGTGAGATGCTCCACTTGCTTTCCCATGAGTGAATGGCTGGAGATGTACATTTGTCCACTCTAAAGGAAACTGCACATCTAAGCTTTTACATTTTTGCTATACTTTGAGAAGTAAAAGAACTATTATGAACCATAATCTATGCATTTCAGTGTTACTTTGTGACACACTTTTGCTCTGTGTACTTAACATCCTTTAACATATAGTATTTTAATTATTGGAGATGTACAACTTAGCACTTCACTATGTACTATCTTATTCTATAATTATTTTAGTCATGTATGCTTTATATGTACAATTATACAATAACCTTCCAGTGGGGAGAAATGTCTTTTATATCATTGGTGGTTTCCAGCACACTAAAGACGTAACAGAAAATCAAGAAATGATGTTTGCTGATTCATTAAGGTGCCTTGTAGGGATGTTAAAGTCATAGTATATGCCATTCCTTCCTTGAGTTTTATGCATAAGTTGTTTTGGGAGAATTCAAAAGTTCATAGATTTTTTTCCATCTTGACAAAAATTATATATAAATAAGTAATTCTAAATTTTCTGTATTTTCTTTGGATTTCTTTTTAAATCTCTAAAAGATGTTCCCACTAAAGAAGAGTTATCTACAATTTGTAGTTTAGTATATGTATGTGTAAGGGGAGGGATAGAGATAGAGGGGTGGGGAGGGCTTTCTCATTTTTCTTTCTTTTCCTTTTCTTTTTACTATGTAAGCATGTTATTTTTCATCCACAGTTTTCAGAGTAGCATAAAGCTAAATTATTTGTCCCTTTGGAACTTCAAATGGAAGTAGGTTGTCCATAATTCCTATTTGGTTGCTCATCCCTATTCCTAGTTAGATGTGGAGCTATTTGCTTAGAGTTTTGGTCACTGGATCCTTCAGCTTGAAGACTCTTTCCTTTGATATCTGCATCCTTCTCAAAACTTGAGGGAGCAGTCTCCCATTTGCTGCTGAGAGGTTTCACATCTTGAGTCTTGGTGGCCTTGATTTGAGAGTGTTTTTCTTCTTCTTGGGCACCTTGAGAGGTGACAAACTTTCAAATGACCGCTGGGACACTGACTGGAGCCACTCTGAAGAGCTTACCACAAGGTTACTTTGGCTTGTAAAACGGGGATTTCTGGGTTGTGTCAAGGATGTGCTGTATCTCTTTATATTTATGAAAGTAGCTGGCTTTAATCTAGGAAAGAAATAAAATACATGAGTTTTTGTCCACACGTACCCTAGGTGTTTGTAGTCCTTAGGTATTTGTCATAGCTTAAGTCATATTTTTAAATTCTTTGGTGAGTTCCTCTTCCCTTAAAACTTTCACCATTATTTCTATGAGAATGATCTATGTCTTCATTTCTGGTCATGATTTTTCAGAAGTACTCCGTTCCTGTACTTCTGAATGCCCAGAGGATATGTTTATTGAGATGCCTGCCCTGACCCAGGCTTCCTGATATAATGGCCACTCTGGTCCTCCGGGCCTTACCTATACATCTAGTTACAATAAATGTTCTCTAAAATTTCACTTTTCTCTAAAAATCGACTTGTTTATCCTATTAGAATGTGCTTGGTATACTGCTATAGGTCTTGGCTTTTTTCTATAGTCAGGAAAAAGATCAGTATGAATCCCAAAGAGGGAAGCTGCATCTATTTCATTTTCCCAGAAGTGAAAACTCTCTCCAATAACATTTTGATCTATATAATCCTTCACAAGAATTTGTATCTTTACTAGATGGAATGTCAAACATGAGATTTATTCCTCAATGTCTGACTTCTGACCAGTGTTGGACTGGAGGTAAAGTTAAGAGATGTAAATCGTCTTGCTAATATACTAGACTCTATTCATTTTGGTTAAGAACAGAACAGACCACTTAAGTTCAAGCCCTATGTTCAGATGTTACATTCTTTAATATGATAATTCTGCCATTAAATACATTAAGTAGTCTCTCTCTAGTCTAAACCTGGATTGAGGTGTAAAGTGGTTTAACAAAGGTGTGATTTTCTCATTTTTTGTTTATTCTCACTTTACTCAGTAATCACTTACTCTGGGTATGTGTGCTGAGCCAGTCAGGCCAAGTATATATAAAAGAGAAAGGCAGCCATAAAAAAGTTCAAAGAACAAAAAATAATTATTATAAGAATAGTTTTTTAAGACATTTTTTTAATATTTATTTTTGAGAGAGAGAGAAACAGAGCGTGAGCAGGGGAGGGGCAGAGAGAGAGACGGAGACAGAATCTGAAGCAGGCTCCAGGCTCTGCGCTGTCAGCACAGAGCCTGATGTGGGGCTCAAACTCACAGACTGTGAGATCATGACCTGGGCTGAAGTTGGTCGCTTAACCGACTGAGCCACCCAGCTGCCCCAATTATAAAAATAATTTAAATATACAGTGAATCCATCTGTTAAGAATGGTCTTGCTTGCTACTTTTGTACTCTTTCTTATATCCATGTATACCTACATTAGAAACTTTTGGGAAGTGTCTGCCCCAGGCACAATTTGCCCTTCTCTGGGGACTGCCTCTTGATCCACAGAGCTAGGCCTTCCATCAGCCATATTTGTAACTGTCTGATCTGTAACCCACTAGCATGGCTGCCAACCACATTGTCTTTCCCTATAATTTAGAATTGGCAATGAAAGATAGCGTGTCTTGTGAGTTAAAGTGTTATAGGATGCAAATTTGTGAGGGTAAGAGGTATGAAAACACTTTTGTAGAGCAAGAAGGGCAGAGACTGACGATGGATAAAGAGCCCTGGTAGCTTTCCATTCCCCAGTGTCAGTCCTTTTCTGAGACCTGGCTGAATCCTCTCTCCTCTTTATTTCCATAAATAGTCTTGGATTTTCTCAGAACTCTTCCCTCTTACCCTACCTTATGCTTTTTGATTAATCTAGCTTAAACTGGTTTCTGTTATTTGCAACCAAAGAGTTCTTAATTAATATAACCTACTATATATCTACTCTTCTAGATTCAGGGTAATCCACACTAAGTAAATTTCTGGGTTTGAAGGATGTAAGAAATCTCTCATGAAAATAATGATTAAAAAATCAAGCTATGGCACAAAAACAGACACATAGACCAATGGAATAGAATAGCTTTTTTTTAATATATGAAATTTATTGTCAAATTGGTTTCCATACAACACCCAGTGCTCATCCCAAAAGGTGCCTCTCAATACCTACTCCACCCTCCCCTCCCTCCCCTCCACCCCCCCCCAACCTCAGTTCTCAGTTTTTACCGTGGTGCCCTATGCTTTGGCTCTCTCCCACTCTCTAACCTTTTTTTTTTTTTTTTCCTTCCTCCCCCATGGGTTTCTTGTTAAGTTTCCTCAGATCCATAAGAAACCATATGGTATCTGTCTTCTCTGTATGGCGCCATTTCACTTAGCATCACACTTCAGTTCCATCCACTTTGCTACAAAAGGCCATATTTGCTTTCATTACACACGTAGTATTCCACAGTAGCATATAAACCACACAATTTCTTTTTAATTCATTCATCAGTTGATGGATGATGAAAATTTTTCCATACTTATTATTGTTGAGAGTGTTGCCATAAATTGGGGTGTCAAGTGCCTCATGACCGCAATTCTGTATCCCTTGGGTAAGCATATAAGTAGGTAGGTCTATTTTAATTTTCTTGAGGAACCTCCACACTGCTTTTCCAGAGCTGCATGTACTTAATTTTGCCCCAACACAACAGTGCAAGAGGGCTCTCACACATCCTCCAGCAGCATCTAGTCTCCTTGATTTGTTCATTTTGGCCACCTGACTGGAGGTGATATCTGAGTGTGGTTTTTGTTATTTCCTGATAAGGAGTTTATCGCACATGAGCATCTTTTCATGCCCATAATATCCTGGATGTCTTCTTGAGAGAAGTGTCTATTCATGTTGCCCATTTCTTCACTGGGTTATTTGTTTTTCGGTGTGTGGAGTTTGGTGAGCTCTTTTTATGCAGATTTGGATACTAAATTCTTTTTGTCCTATGTCATTTGGTGTATCTTTTCCCTCATTCCAAGATTGCCTTTTAGTTTTGTTGGTTGTTTCCTTTTTGCAGTGCAGAAGCTTTTTTACCTTCATGTTGTCCCAGTAATTCACTTTTTGCTTTTAATTCCTTGCCTTTGGGATGTGTCGGTAAGAGATTGCTATGCCAGAGGCTTCAGCAGAGGTCTTTTTCCTGCTTTCTCCTTAAGGTTTTGATGGTTTCTCTCATTCAGGTCCTTTATCCATTTTGAGTTTATTTTTGTGAATGATGAGAAAGTACAGTTTCAACTCCTTTCTGCATGTTGCTGTCCAGTTCTCCCAGCAATCAAGTTAGTAAAGAGACTCTGTCTTTTTTCCATTGGATGTTCTTTTCCTGCTTTGTCAAAGAGATTGGCTGGCCATACAATGCTTGTGGTCTAGTTCTGGGGTTTCTATTCTATTCCTGATTGGTCTATGTGTCTGTTTTTGTGCCATATTGATTTTAAAATCATTATTTTTACATGAGAGATTTTCATAGTCCTTCAAACCCCAGAAATTTACTTTCTATTTAGTGTGGATAATTTGAATCTAGAAGAGTAGATATATAGGTAGGTTATAATATTAATTTTCAAGAACTCTGGTGTCAACAAAACCAGTTTAAGCTTTCATCAAAAAGCATGGGTTGTAGGGTAAGAGGGAAGAGTTCTGAGAAAATCCAAGGACTATTTATGGAAATAAAGAGGAGAGATTCAAAGCCAGGGTCTCCGTAGTGAAGGACTGACACTGGGAAATGGAAAGCTACCAGGGCTCTTTAACGTCAGTCTCTTCTGCCCTTCTTGCTCTACAAAAGTGTTTTCATTTCACCCTCACAAATTTGCAATCCTATAATTTAATCCACAAGACGCTTATCTTCATTGCCAATTTAAATTATAGGGAAAGACACAATGTGGTTGGCAGCCATGCTAGTGGGGTTACAGATCAGACAGTTAAAAGTAAACATGGCTGATGGAGGCTGCCTGGCTCTGTGGATCAAGAGGCAGTCCCCAGAGAAGGGCAATTGTGCCTGTGGGGCAGACATCTCCCAAAAAGTTTCTAATGGTGGCATACATATTGATATAAGAAAAGAGTACAGTAGCAAGCAAGACCATTCTTAACAGATGGATTCACTGTATATTTAAATTATTTTATATTCAGCAGTTGGGTGGCTCAGCCTGTTGCCGGACACCACACAACTTCTCCAGGTCATGATCTCACAGTCTGTGAGTTTGAGCTCACATCAGCTCTTCTGCTGACAGCTTATTGAGAGCCTGGAGCCTGCTTCCGTTTGCCCCCGCCTCTCTCTGCCTCCTGCTCACGCCTCTTGCGCTTTCCTCAAAAATAAATATTAAAAAAAATGTCTTAAAACTATTCTTATAATAATTATTTTTTTTTGAATTTTTTATGGCTGCCTTCTTTTTTTATACTTGGCCTGACTGGC